TCCTATTTTCAGTGTTATTTCCCGAGAGCGGCCGCCATTGCCGTGGGTGGGCGTGGCCTGCGCAGACGCTGATGAAGAAAAATTTTCCACCGACGTAGCGGACGAAAACGACGCGGCGCAACGTCCGCGAATATTAAAGGACAAATTTTCGTGGGGAAAAAAAAATTGCGTGCAAAAAAAATGTGCGTAAAAATGAAAATAATGATTGAGAAAAAAAAATCGTGAGGTTTTTATTTGGCTTTTCAAGGTTTTGTTGATTTTTTTGGGGGATTTTCGGGGTTAAGGGGAATAGTCAGACTTGGGTCAGGCATTTTCGTTGCGCTTGTGAAATGAGTTGAAGTAGAAATGGCAAAGCGAGTGCAGCTGTCGAGTGGTATGACGCAGCGACTGGATGGGAGGCTGTTTTTTTGGGTGTTCCTGCCGGGAGTGATATGCCCCGGCGAAAAAAAAAATTGCAACCCTTTAATTTCGCGCGATTCCTCCCCAACCCCTGGGTATGATAATTCGTGGGAGTATTTTAATGTTGGGAAAAAAAAGCCAGAGGCTCAGTGGGATTTTTATTGCGAGACACACGCACTGGAACTTGCCCCATCTTCTGTGCGTGGTTTTTTTTTTTGTGAAACTATCCACTCGGGGGCTTTTTTTGGTCTTTTGGAGCTCTGAACGGGGGCTTTTTAGGCGACTTTTCGGGCGGCATTTGATGCATCTGAATTCAAAGTGCCTGGCGTTTCATGGAGAGAGGATGGAAATGGGAAACAGATGCAATTTCGGGGGAGAGGGTGCATGGGTTTTTATGAAAAGAAAATTTTCAATGGGGAAAGGGGAATAATCGAGATGATTATCTGGTTCAGGCGAGTATTTTGTTAGAACGTTTCTGTTGTTCTATTTTTGCTGTGATTTATTTCTTAATTTGAAGCGTTAGGGAAGTGATAATTTCGTATTTATTTTAGCAATAAATGATTTTATGAGAAAATGACGTTCAGCTTTTTCTGAGGCCGTTAAAATTTCAGAAAAAATAAATGGTTTATTATGTTTTTTTTTACATTCGTTTCCCACTGAGTTAAGAAAGGGGTTTGGACTTCAACGTAAAAAATAAAAACTGAATTTTCAACTTTTTTTTGTAATTTTCTACTCCTGAGGAAATTGAGATTCTAAGATCTCATGAAAAATCGACGAAAATGTTCATCAGAAATGTTTTATCTTTAAAAAATATCATCCGCCTTTTTGTGAGCCTCCCAAAATTTCTGAAAAATAATGTTTGGTGTCATCTTTCTCAAAATTGTTCATAATTCCGCAAACAGAAAAGAGTTCGAACTTCACTACAAAAAATTGAGAATTAAATTCCAAAATTTTCTTGTATTTTTTTTCTCAGATACTTCTAAAACGTTTAAAAAATGCCATATAATTTAAACCCTCAATAACTTCATGAAAAACGAGAAAAATGTTCATCAGAAATATTTTATCATTAAAAAATATCATCAACTTTTTTCTAAATGTTCCAAAATTCCTAAAAAAAAATGTTAGTGTCATCTTTCCTGAAACTCTTCATAATTCCGCTAAAAGAAAAGAGTTCGGACTTCACTACAAAAAATTGAGAACTAAATTTCAAACTTGTTTTATAGATTTTTGTCAGACACTTTAAAAAAGTGTTAAAAAATGTCTTAAAAATGTTTTTTCAATCCTTTAAAAAATATGGAAATCAACCGAGTGTCTGAAATATAATGGATTTAATTGAATCCCTCAAAGACCTCATTAAAAATCGACTGAAAAGTTCCCGAGAAAAATTTTCGCATTAAAAACTAAAAATAAAAGAATACTTTATCACGTCTTATCGCAGTGGCCAAACGATCTCCTTCTATCCTCGACATTTCCACCAATAGTCCTCCCTTAATCCCCCCGGTACACGACGATATTCGTGCTCGAGCAAATGGCGTAAGCCACCGACCATTTTACCTCCACTTCTCCAGTCTTCCTCCTCAGCAACACACCCAAGGGGTGAAACATCCGCACAGACACCCTCTCCCCTCCCCAAACGAGCACACTCACCAATGTATTGGGAGGTAACTCTTTCCCTCACGGCTGAAACAGGGAACGTTTTCGCTGGCGGCAATTTTTTAAAATTAAGGCCGTTAAACCTAATCTCCGTGCCCCGACCGAGACGAGATGAGGGGGTGGAGGAAGCGTGCGAGTCATGAGGCATAAAAACTCACACCCGCCCCTTCTCCACTCGTATTCGGTTAAATCGTTCTCTCTGCCCGCTCATTCGACCCCTCCGAGTTCACCTGAACCTCCAAATGCTTCTAATATCCTCCATTACGACGCCGGTCCTAGTCTACCCCGACAGGAAAACGATTCTTAATTTTTTCTCTTTTTTTAATTGAGGGGAGAAGGAGGGAAATGTGCAAACAAAAATCGACTGCATTAATTTTCAATTTTTTTCGGTAGAGCATGAAAAATGTGGAGAGTTTACAATTTTTCTATGCAATAATATTACCAAATAGGGGGCTTCGCCCCTCCGCTCGCTTCGCTAGCCCCCCGCCTAGTTTTCTTAATTTTTTCCATTTTTTAGTTCGGGGGAAAATGGAGTATTTGAGGAAAATGCGGAGAATTTTATCTTTCTAGGCAATAACATTACAAACAGGGGGGCTTCGCCCACCGCACGCTTCGCTCGCCAACTTTGGAGGGAGGGGGGGCTGCGCCCCCTCCTCGCTCACTTCGCTCATTCCACGCCCAGTCTTCTTACTTGTTTTTCCATTTTTTAGTTAACGGAAAAATGAGAGGAATGTGCAAACATCGAAGGAAAATGTGTATAATTTTATATTTTTCTATGCACCACCATCACACTAGGGGGCTGGGCCCCCTGCTTGCTTCGCTCGCTAACCCCGGGGGGGGGGCTGGGCCCCGCTCCCCCTTCCATCTTCTTGGTTATATACTCAGATGTTCGTATTATATAGAAAACAAATTGATAGAATGATTTACGTCGTTTGAAAAATTGAGATTTTCGTTATTTAAACAAGGCTCCAACCAACGCCTTTTGTCGTGAGACCCAACAATTCATTTTTCCATTTATTCACATAGAATAGTATGAGGTATCAAAATTGAAAAATGAAAAATTAATCGAAAAGCTGAGAAATTTGAAAAAATTTGCCATTTAATAATACTAACAAATAAAAAAATTCCAATCAGTCATCTCTAACATCTCTAGAAAATCCCTTCATTAATTCCATAATACAAAAAGCAAACAATATTAAATAAAATAATCATTCAAAATACGAGTTTTGGACTATTCATAAATCAAACAAGACAAGACCCATTTTTTGTTTTTCTTTTCCACTTCGATACGAGCGATTGAGATTATAGAATTCTGTATTGTTAATCTTTTGTCCACAAACTATTACATTATCTACTACGTCACATGAATAAATAAATCATGATAACAAGACAGTCCACATAATGACCAAAAATATTCCCGTCCCATTCTCCGTCATCCCCTAAAAGACAAGTTTTTCTCCCCCAAAAAACTAAGTCCACCGGTGCGAACAACTCCCTCTCCAGAAAAATTGAATCATCTCCACTAGATAACGGAAACCGCACTGATCGATTAAAAAAATCCCATCCCCAGCGCCGCCCATTGTTTTCTTGTTGACATTGCCCTTTTCCCTTTCCGCGGCGTATGAACAAGAGCCAGTTGAGTTTGGCAAACGCGTTGTGATGGCCGGGGCGAAAGGGGTACGAGGAATATGTGCAGAACGCCACTGACAATCGAATTTAATTATCGTTTATTTGTATTCCATGTTTTTAGATCCATCATGTATTACTTTTAATCTACCGCAATCAAAGGGACCCACAAAACCCTAAAACAAAGAAAAAGAAGAAACCCATCTCGCATTTTATTGCTCTCAATCCTTATTTTTATTAAAAAAAAAAAAAAAAAATTCAGCGGAAAAAAAATTAGAGAGGAATCGTCACGTCGCGCCCCCCCGCCGAGAATTCCGACCAAAAAGTGGCCGCTGTCGTCGGTAATGCAGGCAGCCGCCGTTACCCACTCCCCCGGAGACTATTTACCGACGCGACAATCTCCCCAGTGCGACTTGCGCGCATACGTAAAGCGCCCCGGCCATCTTGGAAAAAGCGAAAGCCCCCGAGGTGCTTTAACGAGAGATATAGGAAAAACAAAATGAAGGCGCTTGCGCCATCGTGTCCGTTATTGAGCGAGAGAACCCGGCACATCGCCTTTTTGCACTTAATCATCCCCCCTGCGCGCGCAATTCCCAGTACTCCGGCTCAACCCCCCCCCCTCTCCTTCAGGAAATACCGCTCCTGAATTTTTTTTCTCCTCGCTTCTTTTTGCATTCTATCACTTTTTTTCGGTGTTTTGTGGCGAAAGGCCGACGAAAAAATGAATAAAATAATACATCCTCATTCGATTTCAGTCAACAGCTGATCGACGCTGATATGCGCGATGAAGGTTTCAATGGCATTCGTTTGATCGGTCAATCTGTTCGCTGGGATATTGGGGAGATGAATTTCTTTCGTGGGAATTTTTTTGGGAGTGGGATTATTCGATTGGGGAAATAACGGTTTCTAAGATTTTTGGGGTGACGAGTACGCTGGGCTATGATTGAGGGATTTTATGCGTTGAAGTGCCGGGAATTTTCGGGATTTGGGAATGATGGGATGCCAATGATTTTACAAGACGAGAATATAAAATTAAAAAATTAAATTTTAAATTGTTTGGTGAATTTCAACAACTAATTGGTGAAATTTAACAATTAATTAATTGAAATTCAGAAAAGATTTCTCGGTGTTCGTCAATTTTTCGGATGGATCAAATTTAACAACAAATTTCACGTAATTTCGAATTCATTTCATTACAAATTGATTCGGCTCCTAGCTGTGTTTCCCAGAAATATTTCAGAACGTAAGAAATGTTCGGGTTAGCAAAGAATTCGAGAGTACGCGACTAAACCTCGGCCCTAAGAAATGCAAATTACCTTTTCAGATCAAGAATTACCGGTCCGTAACGTTCTAACATCTCCAAAAAATCGATTCCATCCTCCGGTTAAAACCCGTCCTCGTAATAATGACGAGAAGAGCACATGAGGTGTGAGATAATTCGATGGGTTACACCACAAACGACTGAATAAGAATGGAGATAACAACGTTATTGCGAATCACTCCGGCCTATTGTGTTCGAAGAAGCAAAGGTTCGTGGATGAGATCACTGGGTACACAAACAGAAGATTCACGGCTGAATAGAATACCTCGGCCGTCCGAGCCCCCTAGCTGTTTTATTTGTAAACAGATTCAGGTGTATTCTCTCGGCATTCGGAAATAATCTATTCACACAAACAGCCAATAATAAACAAAACGTGGCTGAGTGAGAATGAAGATAACGAATTCAATTTGCGGATTAATTCATCGATTGACGGATCAATTGATTAACCGGGGAGTTGATTCATTGATTCATTAATCAGAGGGTGAGACAAATCTGGGACTGAGAGAAAAAATTGCCGTGAAGAGATCTTTTGTCGCGTTGAATCAATTTACTTGCGGAGAAAAAAAAAGTCTCCACCGAGACATGATAATTTTCGTGGTAGTTATTGTTCTCGTGAGACATTTATATGTCTTTCGGGTAAATACATTCGTTCTACAGAGAATTATATGAGGCTCCGGTTTTATCAAGTGAATGTTATTGAGTAGTGTGTATCTTTGTCCAATAAACACTTATAATTTCCATGGAACAAATGATAATTTCAAGAGGAAACTGCAATTTTCTTGCCGATAACTGTGTTATTGGCAAAACTAAATAATTTCGAGGGGACAATTTTCGAATTCTTCTGGGGATATTTCTGATGATCACGACAAAAATTTAATTTTTGGGAAAGATATCAAATTTTCTTCTATCAAGTTGGTTAATTTCCCTCGAGTAAATCTGCTCCGCTCCATCAAATATTCTCACGTGGAACATATAGTTTTTCGGTGGAGCTTGTTTTTTTTTTTAGTGTGGTTGAATTCAAGTTCAGTCAGCCTTTTCTTCAGTAGTTCAGGGTCTCTAAATTCCTTTACAGTTCTGCACTGTTAACAATTTTTGTCTGAATTTTCGGTGCTAAATCCTGGAAATTTTGATCGTGTTTAATTTCCACCGAAATTGTAGACAATATTGCCATGGAAAAATCAAAGATTCCATTGATTTTCTGTTGGAGTGATCTGAGAATCACTAAAATACTTGAATTTGCAGGAAAATTCAGAAGAAAATAGAAAATTTATATCATTTTGTTTCGGAATATTCATGTTCCAGTGAAAATTTAATGGAGTTTAAAATTTCCCTTTCACTTCCACTGAAAACTCATGAACTTCTTTGAATTTTATCTAAAACTTGAAATTTCATAACCATTTTTCCCATAAATCCGATTCAATATCATTCTGATGCGAATCACGATCATATTTTCCATGAAATTTCAGAAAATTTCGAATTTTATGAAAAGTTTAACAATTTGTTAATTTGCATTTTGAACAATGATTTCAAGATAAATATTTAGGACTGAAATATCAATTAATTGGAATTGCCGAAAATATTTATCTAAACTTTCAAAACTGTCTATTCATTTTCATGATATAAATGAAATTCGCAGTTCCCATTAAATTTTTCACTGAATTTTGAATTTCCAACACAAAATTCCGCGAAGTATCAGTGGAACCGTCACTTGTCTATGATTTCCAAAACGACTATTCATTTTCATCTTCATTTTTAATTCATACAGACCCAACAGCGCGCGGCCAATGACAGAATCAAATTAAATGCGTAAAGTCGTAAAAACATAAAATTAAATCTTGAAATTAATAAATTGAACAGTTCAACGTAATACTCAGGACCGAAACTATTATTTATAGTAAACAAAAAAAAAACCACCAGTATAAAATTTTGCCCCAATTAAAAAATTCCCTTTCGTCTATTTTTCCGGGATTCATTATCCCCAAAAACACGTGGACAATCGCAAGGAAAAACGTGTTTTCCAGCCATACCTCAACGTCGAATAACAGACCGCCCCAAATCGCGAGTGCATAATTAACAAATGACCCATTACCTAATTTTTCCCTTCATTTTTCCTTCTTTAAACACCTTAATTCGTTTTTAAGTCGAGAACCCCGGAGGATTTTGATGGCGCATTTATTAAGGGTTGGTATGACCCCACCGAGTTGTCCGATAGCCGTAGCCTCTCCCGCTCGTTCCACACGAGAATGTGTGCGGTTTATCCCCACCCCTTTCAAACCGTCGTTATATTCCCCCCCCCCTCCCTCCCCCCGGCACCGGTCCCCACCCTATTCTATTTTCCACCTTCCACATTTGCCTTCCCTAGACCCTTTCATAGAAAATTGGGGAGTCGAAGGTGGAGGGGGAATTTTAGACCCTCACGATTAGACGACGGGAGGGGAAGGTAGATGAGTGTTTAGATGAAGATCTAGATGAAATTTCGAGGGGATATGTTAGTCCGGGGAGTGAAGATATTTCTCCGGTGACTGTGTTGCGCGATCATTTAATAATTGATTCGATTTTGAAATTGTAAAAGATAAATATTAAACATTAATATATAAATTAATATTATTATTTAATATATTTTTAATATTATTAATAATAATTTAATAATATTTTTTTATCGTCATTTTTGATATTTTTAATTGTAAAGATAGATTAAATATTAATATTAATATTAAAGTTCTCTGAATTCCAGGATTTTTTCAAGAATTCCCTGAAAATTGAGAGGATTCGGGAATTATGTGAACAGGAGAGATTTCTGTGAATTTTCAATGACAAAATTCCTTGAAATTTTAGTGGAAAAGTTACTTTTTAGAAATTTCGGGGGAAAATTTTTAACAGTGTCCGCCACTGCGTTCGGTTTCTGGATTCATTGACGTCAATTGATTTCTTTGATTGCAGACGACTTCAGGAAATTCAGTTTTTTAAATGTATCGCGAAGGGAGAAGTTTTGGTTGTTGATAATAAAGTCTACAAAAATCTACAAAAATTTTCTCTCTGTGCGCGGACATTTAATAATTGATGGTCGATATTTTACTGGGTTGTTTGATGTTACATGTATGATATGACGATTTTAAAATGATGAAAGATCAATATTGGTTCAATATTGGAGAATAATCAATAAAGAAAAGAATTGTGAACTGGAATTGTTCATGGTTTTGGGGATTTTTTAATGCGACATGGAGAGAGAAAAGTTTTGGTTTTTAGGCGTCTGCGAAATTCTCAAATTTAATGAATGAAAATCGTGAAATCAAACGATTAATTTCCAGTCATAAAATTCTGATTTTTAGGAATTTTACACCTCAATTTGAGTGAATGTATCCCTAAAATTTATTGCATAAATATTGATATACTCATGACGTGAAACTTGAAATCGTTAAAATGCATTGGAAAAGTCTCTAAAAATCCTCTAAATTTACTACAACAAATCTCTTCTTGCTTTTTTTATAAAAAAAAATGCACTAAAATTATCTTCAGGAATGACTTAATCATCATAAAAGAAAGGAAAAATCAAGAAGTAAAAAAATGAAAATCAATAAAAGCGTCAAGAAAAAAATTATAAAAAAAATGAAAAAGTAAATAAAAAATAAAAAAAATTACATAAATAAATAATAAAAATCCCCCAATAAAAAAATGAAAAAAAAAACGCCAGAAATTTAAAAAAATTGACAATAAAAAAAAATAAACTCTTAAAATCTCTAGAAAGCCCTCGCCGGCTGTTCTTCGCAACTCGCCACCTAATTCTTTCAACATTACCCCCCACGCCCTCCCCCCTTATCCACGCTACGTTGCGTGCATTCCCCATTTTCGCGGATGTGCATCCCAGCATACGAGAGAGGCGTCTCTACTCACCAGCGTTCTCTCGCGACCGGCTCATCGTGCATTATTTAATGGACGGTTTTTCCCTTTGTTCAACGGGACTCATTAACCGGAGGTCGGCCGATTGTACTTTGCGTCATGGTGGCAGGGGTGGGCGAGTCGGCGGGTGCAGGGCGAGCCGGTGGAAAGGCATCTACAACGATGCAGACTCTGGTATACGGCGTTACGGGGTTTGCAGTGGCGTCGCTGCATAATGAACAGGACACCCTCTGGTTCGCCATGGCCAACTCATCCCTCTCTTTGCAATGCTACTGTCCTCCCACCCCCCGCTGCATAGTGTTCCGTTACGTCGGATTGCGTTACGCGTTTGTTTGAACTTTTCCCGAAAAAAAGTGGAATAAAACTGAAAAAGATAGAATAAATAAATGAAGGGAGAAGGAAAATATGTGTCTCTCTCTCTCTCTCTCTCTCTCTCTCTCTCTCTCTCGCTGTCTCTCTTTATTTGTTTTAGTTGTTCTGTTATATTCTGTGGGATTCGTTGATTTTTACGTTGAGTAATGCAATGGAAATGGCGCAGAATGGAATAGAGGGGGCGTTGACAAGGTGTGCTGCCCTATTTGGAACATTAGACATTGCCCAGTTAAGAAAATCCTCAGTTAAGTACCGGAATGACTGAAAATAATCTGTCGATCAATTTTCATCGAAAGCTCATCGAAGGTATTTCACCAAAAAATGAGGTGAATCGGTTTATAATCACTATTTGTCAATATCATTAGTACTTATAAAGTAGTTTGTTAATGTTTACGACCAGATGACGAAAATGAAAGCTCTCTATGACGAATTCCTGGAATAAATTCACTGCACACATAAGAGAGTTAAGTCAGTTTTTACTATTGACCAACTTTCAATTAATATCTCGGAATCTGAGGGAGATAGCGAAGTTTTCATAATTACATTTGTTGTAGCACTCAATCGGCTCTACCAAAAAGGTTGTAACAAAAATTTCGATATCTCCCTTAGATGCCGAGATATTGATTGAAAACTGGTCAATAGTCAAAACTGATTTATCTCCTTTTACTAGTTTGCTACTGAATTTCTTCTGATGATTTGCTTGGCTAACCGGGCTTGGTTCAACCGGGTCTTAGAGATGTATCTTCAGTAATAATCTAATCATCATTAAAAAAAAGAAGACTAAAAAAATCCTATGAAAAAAATGAAAATATAAAAAAGCAAAGAGTCGAAAATTTCGAGAAAGAAAAAAAAAGAGACAATAACTCCTAAATTGAACATTTTGTAAAAAAAGGGGAATATAGATGAAAAAGATAGAATAAATAAATGGAGGGAGAGAGAAAATATCGGTTC